TATATATATTGTAACTTATACACTAATCATAACGCTAGTCAGCTTGAGACTGAAAACCTCCACTTGTTTCAAACGGGTGAAGAGTGGTAATGCATTAACACGACAACACAACCCAAAGTAGACAGGCTGTAAAACACAACAGAAGGAAAGAAAAGAAGTTGGGACCTACCAAAAGCGAGCGAACGCACTCCACCAACCACCTGTCAACCCTTCGCCATTACTTGGGTTTCTTTTTCTGTACGTCGAAACAGTATTTCCCTAACTCAAAACATAATCATATATGATCAACGCCTGTCAATTATGACATACTATTTTCAACCTTTAAAGGATTATTGTAAACTTTGAATCCATAACTTTTCTCCGCTCCCAAAGATTCTTTAAGGACAGTGCAAATGAGAGACATTCTTAAAACGAATTTCGTGTAAATCAGAAACTTTCACATTTGAAATATATATATTTAAAAAAACATCCGATTACTTTAGGAATTGTTTTCAATTAGTGAAATGAACCAAATAAGCCAGTAACTCTTCTAAGACACAGCTAATTAAGAACCTTTAAGGCATACTATTCAATAAGTTCTCCATTTCAGTTAAAATATACCATGAGAAAAACATGCATATTATAATCAAACCATATCCAAAAACATCCCCAAATTTCCACCAAATACCCATGCAAAGAAGAAAAAAAAACCAATAACAAAAAACAACAACAACCAAACGAAGAAAATAAAAAACCCACACCCCCCAAAAAGACACGTAGTTAATGTATCCTTGACTTCAACAAGCATAAGAGATATACCATAGGTACATCAATAGCTACTATGTACCTTACTTAAGCACAACTATGGAGCTACATGCTAATATCATGATAGAAAATAGTTCAATGCATGTACGCGAGTAAAATAATTATAAGAGGTCATGATTCAAAGATTATCTACAAAGCAAACAAAGTGAAAAGGAAAGAAAAAATGAATAACAAAACGGGATCTAGAGCTAAATGAGAAGCGCGTAAACCCCAAAAACTAGTTTTGGAAGTCTGTGTTGGAGTGGAAGTGGTACACAAACATGTCTTTGTTGCTGTTGGAGTTGCAATACATATCATACTAGTCAAGGCTTGTATCGAGATTACATCATAACTGTTAGTAACAACTCATGAACGATGCCAGATTAAAACATACCCTAAATGACGAAATGGATTTTTGCAAAAAGATGAATAGTACAAATAATGAATCAGAAATAATACGCAGTCATATTACACACAACACACACATACATACACACATACACACACACACACACACACACACACACA